CAAAGTAGATTAATTTGTAACGAAATTTCAACAGAATTTCGTCTATTTTTTGGTCAAAACCAAATTTGTATAAATTGAAATTATAAAGTTTTCATTGTTACTACCATCACTTATATAACTACATTGTTATATGTAGTTTTCAGAATTCACACTTCATGATTAATTTCTAACAAAAATCCGGCAGAGTTTCCTTTGTTTTTTGGCAACAATTTTAAATGACACAATGAAACCTGACAATAAAAAGCCCCACGGGCATATTCAAGCAGTTCAAGTATAATTGTACACATCATCAATACATTGAAAAAAACTATAATATGACTAAGAATTGAATCAACAGTTAACGGCAAATGACTAACAATCTCTACCTATGAAATGTAGTAAGTAAAATTGTATGACTTTGCCCAACAAATATAAGTGCAACAACATCGTACCTGTGGTTTAAGGCAGCGATGAAGGTTCGCACCACAGAGAAACAGAGCAGCGGCTGCACTGGGGTGGAGGTGGAGGATGCAATGCGGCGTTAGGGTCGAGGCTGTGGTGAGCGGACAATGCAATGTGGGTGGAGGCTGCGGTGGGGGTGGAGGGTGGGCGACTAGCGTCGCAGTGGGGTGGCAGCTGCAGTGGGGTGGAGGTGCTGCGGCGGGGGTGTCATGCGGTGCGCGGTGGCGACGTGAGGGAGGGCGTCCGGAGAGTCCAAATGACGGTGGTAGGTGGTGGCCGCGATGCTGGAGAGTAAGGGGAGTGGGCGCGATGCTGAAGAGTAAGGGGAGATACAAAAATGCATATGGTAGCCTATTCAAATGGGAAAACGGGGTTTCGACGTCGGTTATACCCACACCCGACGTTGAAACTCGATTTCATATGTTTTAATCGATTGAAACGAGATTTAATCGATTAAAATAGTTCTGATTGGTCATAACTGGATTCTGATCGATCATCCTGACCCTTTAAGAGATTTTAATCGATTGAAACGTGGTTTTAATCGATTGAAAAACTTCTGATCGCTCATAATTAAAATCTGATCGATCACATTCGATTCTGATCGGTCATATTTGTATTCTGATCGGTCATAATGAGTTCAGAAGGGTTTTCAACGTCGGGTGAGGGCATAACCGACGTCGAAAGCCTACTTTTCCACGTCGTGCATGCTAAAACGACGTAGAATGTGTCAAAATTCGACTTTCGACGTCGGTTGTTGACCAACCGACGTTGAAAGCATGTTCAACGTCGGCTAAGATGTAACCGACGTTAAACAGCGACGTTGAAAGTATATTTTCTAGTAGTGTTTGTCACATTGAAAGTATACGTTCGATTTGTCATTTTATCTTTTACTTCATTCTTTTGTAGCAATTTACAGATATATGGAGCCCCTACTTTGAGCTCTGCTATATTTACTTTCTCTTCGACAGTTTCTTCAATATCATTTTCTATCATGGGATCTGTCTCATATACATCATTTATATATGCTACTCTTTATTTTTTCATGGGTTTCTCATATTTCTTGTACCTTTGTTTTTCATACTCAATTTGTTCTACTCTTCTTACTTTATCAGCTAATTGAGCCATGTCATTCAATGGTAAATTGACTAACTTTTTTCTAATCGAGAATTCTAAGCCTGCAGAGGCCATTCTAACTAATTCATATTCAGGAATTTGAGTGAAACATCTCGACTTCATTAGTCTAAATCGATTCAAATAATCATCTATGCTTTTGTGATTGTATCTTTTTATATTCATCAAATCGATGAGACTTACTTGAGTTTCTCCTCTAAAGAATTGCTCATGAAAATTTCTTTCCAGTTGCAGCCAATTATATATCGAATTGGGTGGCAACGAAGTAAACCAAGTAAACGCATTCTTAGTCAAAGAACTAGGGAAATATTTCATTTTTAATTCCTCGCTCATCGCTAGGTCCCCACATTCGATCTGATATCGAGCTACATGCTCAATAGTTGATTCACCAATTTCTCCAGCAAATTTGGTGAATTTAGGTACTTTGTATCCTCGAGATAATTCCGTCTCAAGAATCGCATTTGGAAAGGGAGACACAAAGTATGTTTGATTGGGTGGTCTAAACTCTATCCCTTGGAAATTCATCCTCTGTCCTAACATGTGATTATACTGCATGTTATTCTGATTGTACATATTTTGAAATCCTTCATTCAGATTCCCACAAATATCATTTCTCATCTGTTGGTATTCATTCCCTGTATGCTGATGTTGATCATTGTTTCGATTTCTCCTTAATAGATACGGGGGATTGATATTAGCATTCTGGTTAGCATGATTTTCTATCCTTGTTCGTCGAGGTACAACCAATGCATCCCCGATTCGTGACATTTGGTCTGCTAATATCTCAAAACTAGCAGTAGTGTTTTGAACTAATGGGTTTAGGACTGTAGTCAACTGTTGTGATAACATATTTACCATCTCAAAATTGCTCTCATCCATTTGTTGTCTAAGTATCCCTAATGAGTTACTGGATATCCCAGTACCAGTGTTTTCGATAGTCTCAAAATTGGATCGATGATAATCTCTATCGAATATATATCTTCCATGTTCCAAATTTCCTCTATGATCTAGATTTCCTCTATGATCTAGATTTGGAAGCGTTTGTTGTGTGCCTAAATTCTGTCCACTTCCTGAATTCTGGGAGATTGCTAAGTTTTGAGGTGTCCCTAAATTCGGAGGGACTCCAAAATTCTGGGGCATGCCCAGCGTTTAAGGCATTCCTAAGTTATATCTCGAATTTCGCTGTGTTGAAGAAGTTCCAGCCCCGCTCGTATTATTAAGCGAAAACCCAGGCGGTCTTACACTCATATATGGGCCTACATATGTTGTTGTGGGGTTTCCTATAGTTTGCATATTATTCGGTACCACCGCATTAGATCCTACTTGGGTGTTTGTTAAGGTACCTGAATTTAGTTCGTTACCCACAGGTATCGACATACTCGTAGTTGTCGATGTTACAGGCATATTCTCATTATGACTTTGTCCCCCAGTATTTGGTGAATGTACACCATTCAGACCTTCACTGTTACTCTGGTTATTTGATGAATTTTGACTCATACTTATAACTCGCCCACTCCTTAGTCTCATACACTCTCGAACTAACCAATTTTGTGTTTTCAACACAAGGCTATCCCTACCTGGAGCGCCAATTTGTTTCTGGTGGAATTTCGATCCATTTTGACTCTTAAGATATTTTGATCATAATCAAAAGTCTACCACGTAAGTTCTTTTTACTTAGGCTAGCAAATTAATTTTCAATCGAGATGTGTATGAAGAACGAATTTTGCCCGATTTCAAAGATACTATTTTTGGTGTTTTATATTTAAAGTGCTCGAAGTAAAGAAAGCAGAAAATTCGTGGAATCGAAAAGCAGTGCTGAACATTAGATTGCAAAGAAACGTAACATGCTGAAATCTTAAATTTTGCTTTAAGTATAAAAGTCAGGGAATCGAAACAGCAGAAATGTAAATAACAGGAAGTATAAATAACGGTAAACCAAATATGCAGAAAGTATAAATAACTTGGAAATCGAAATCGCATCAATGTTAAATGACAAGAAAACTTAAACGCGGAAATCTAACTTTCATTGAATCAAAATGACCAAAATCGAAAGCACAGAAACATAAAATTGCTAAAGATAAATTGCATCAAAGTAAATTACCAAGGAAAATACAGAAAACGGTAAAGGTACTCAATGAGCGTGGAAATTCAGATTGCGAGAAACTTCATGATGTTCGTCGTTTCTTCGGTAGACTTCTCACTAATGATTCTGTTCTCTGCCAATTTCTGCTCCCATTTCCTTTCATCATTCGCCCTATTTATAGAGCATCCTTTAAGCAAGTAACTTCTTAAGAGCAGTTAATGAAAACTGCTACCACGTCCTACGTGCATGTTGCAGTTTCTTCTTCAGTGTCAAAACTGCACCCACGTTCCCATGATCTTCGACTTCTTTCATGGTTTAAAAAACTGCCTTCACGTTCCCATGCATGAGGTAACTGCTTCTTTTGACCGACCTTTGCCATCGCTTGCCACGTTTGACGTACACGTCAATTGTTTCTTTCTTTATAACTTATCTGGGATTTCGATACATGGGTTAGCCTTTCTCCGATGTTGATTTCGGAATCTCGAGAACGTTTGACTTGTTTTTGATTTCTCTTAATCTTAACATTACATAATTCTGGTTTCTCGATTTCATTCACTTACGGGTATTAAACATTCATCCTTAGATTCTCGATTCAAACTCTCGCTTATATTGTCACATGGCCGTCGAACGCATTTTCCAGCTATCTTTCGATTTATCGAGTCTTTAACTCAATCAAAAAAGATTCTCGATTTGCTCTCATTTGTTTCTCGATTTTTCTTCCCTTCGTTTTTTCGATCACTTTTCTCGATTTTCCACTAACAAGCTTTGATTAATGAATGACATCCATTTCTTATATATATATTCTAATTAACTTTTTATTTGTCATTGTACATGGCCGGTTTAAAGACTCTAAAAATAAGGACACGATGTACGAGATATTCACTCGATTTAAACATATTTTATATTAATTGTAAAAAAGTATTTTTTTTAATTAAAATTATAAGACAAATTAAAGGGAAAATCTGATTAAATTTGGAAGACTCAGCTAAGGAATAATATTGAAGTGTTAAATATTTTTTGTAATTTTGATTAAATTTAAAGTATCATATTTCTTGTGACTTTAATTGATTTTAATAAAAACTCAAATGTATTTTATATTATTTGATGACACTGATATGTACAAATATAAACTATAATTAAAGAGGTTAAATATAGAAGATGATATTATATTTGATTAATTGTAGATTGAAAATGGATATAAATGTTATTTCAAGCATCACGTCCATACATACACAACACAGATAAAAATCGAAGGATTAATTGAAACTAAAGGACTAAAACTGTTTGATAAATTAGAAAAGACCAAAAAACAGAAATAAAACAAATAAAAAGAAATGAAATGATTTTATCGTGGATAAAAGTCAGTAATAGACATGTCATTCACAGAAAATGGTATCGAACGTGATCCCTGCTGCATGGCCTCTTTTTCATTTATTCCATGAGAGAAGAATGCTGGTTCTTGGGGAGATGGCAATTCAAGTGTGAGATCGTTCAGATAAGAAACTACTTCTCCAATGGTAGGTCTCACATTTGGATTCTCTTGAACACATAATAACCCAATTTCAATGCATCGAATCACTTCACTTTCATAATCATTTTCTTTCATATTTGGATCCACTATACTCAATGGTGTTTGATCCGTCCAATTTCTCCAAACCTGCAACAAATATCAATTAATTAAATATTGAATTGTTGCATTTCTTTGCACCTAATGAAAAACTTCACACTCACATTAGTCATCAGGCCTTCATCAACATGATGCGATACGTAAGAATTTGCATTCTTTTTACCACTAATAATCTCCAAAATCATGATTCCAAAACTAAAAACATCTGACTTCTCCGAAAATTGTCCGAGCATTGCATATTCTGGTGCCATATAACCACTATAAAACAAAAGTTAGTCAAATAATATGTAGTGTGAAAAATTGGCAAAAATAATAAAAATGGATTAACTGAATTTTTGAAACTTACTACGTTCCAACAATTCGATCAGTTTCTGTACGGTTTTGATCTATATCAACAATTCTAGCCATGCCAAAATCTGATATTTTAGGATTCATAGTTTCATCTAATAGAACATTACTAGGTTTAAGATCACGGTGTATAACTTTGAGTCGAGAATATTCATGCAGATAAAGAATCCCCATAGCAGTCCCTCCTATAATTTTAAAACGTTGATGCCAACTTAACTTCTCTTTCTCTTGTTGATTATCTACAATATAAAATGACATAAAAAAAATTATTTAATCACTTGAATTAAATTAATATATCTTACATGAATCATTTTAACTAATTAACAATTTAAGATAAAAGTATTAACCAAATAAAAAGTAGTCGAGGCTACGATTTGGCACGTATTCATAAATAAGAATCTTCTCTTCCTCTTCCAAACAAAACCCTATGAATGCCACGAGATTCTTATGTTGTAACTTGGCTATCAATAAAATTTCATTCTTAAACTCGACTGAACCTTGTTTAGAACTTGTAGAAAGTCTTTTAACAGCTATATGTCGTCCATCAAGAAGAGTACCCTACAAATATAAACCATTATTTACATAAATATGATCATTAAGGATATAAGCCTGTCATATTTTCTTACCTTATAAACCTCTCCGAAACCACCTTGTCCTATCTTGTTCTGATGCGAAAAAGTATTTGTTGCTACTTTAATAGTATCCAAATCAAATTGCAACCCTTCTAGAGTGGAACTTTCTTCACCAACTGAATCAATATGTATGAATTATTGAATAAGTTCATGGACATTTTAAAGATTTTATAAAATAATAATAAAATTTGAAGTTTCTTATTATTTGTATACGTACAATTTTTTCTAAGAAGAGTCTCACGACTCTTTCTTGCTCTTCTCCTAAACACATAGTAACATAGACTAAAGAAAATCACCAAAATAACAATGGGAGCAACAATGAAGATGATTGTTCGTGATCTACTCTTTTTATTTTCTGCACAAGAAATTTATATGTCATTCATTTACTAATAATTATTGTTATTGATCAGTGTGTGTAATAATACAAATTCCCTGCTATAAAAGAAAACCAATTAGTAAGAGCATATATACGAGATTAAAAATGTATTTAGGAATGTCTTGCTGTAAGACAAGAAAAAATCATTGCAAAGTATATAAAGATGGTAATTAATTAATTAATTATTCATTTTATTTTTTATATTCGTATAAAATTTACTTTTTTTACTTGTATTTAAAAACATTTATGTTTAGTTTGTACACAAACATTTTTTAAAATTTATTTTGGTTTTTGTAATTTTTAATTATAAAAACTAAATGAATTAAAAACAAATGTAAGAAAACTAAAATAAGTAATTCTAAATATATAATTTATAATATATATATTTAATAAGTACAGAGACTAAATAAATATTTAACCATTTTAATAAAAAAATATTTTCACATGATCTGATGAACATGTTTTTTCGTTAAAAAAAATGATTGGACCATTAAAGTTAAGAAAATGTTTAAATTCTTAAATATGATCTGCTATGGCTTAAAAAATAGGCAAAAGTCAAATGTTAATTCAGCCATGGAGATAGTTCCAAGCATATAATATTAAACTTAATTTACCTCCTGAGTTGGCTGCAGGAACGAGTCCGGCCGGTGATGGCGTTGGTGCCGAGGAAAGGGATCGAAAAAAAGGGTAAATTTCAAACCTGATGATACAGTTGGGGTAATAAACTCTTCCTCCTTGCGTTCCGGCACAGCACGATGGAAGATCCGAGTTTATCAAGCTATCCAGACATATTCTGCAATCTCCGGGAGACAGGTCTTGTGTGCACTGAGCAAGACAATAAAGCTTCTGAAATATGTCTATGTTTGTTTCCGTTGTGGCGAACTTTTTAGCACCAGTAGGATAATCGGCTGCGTCATCCGCAGTTTTGTTCATGGTGTCATACAGTAAAGCCTTGAAGCTTTCTTGGTTGGTCATATTGGTGGGGTTCGGAAGGACATAGCCGGCTAGCATGGTTAGGCTGGAGAAGAAAGAAAGGTTGGAATACCGAACTATGCACTCATCGTAATACACCACTGCTGCTTTGGACAAGATGCAGTCTGGGTGTGTGGATAGTCGCTGTGTTGCGTTTCCGACGCAGTTATTACATATGTCGGAGGGGATGTCACCTCTGCACATGAATAGTCCGTACACTGTCTCGGAGGAGTTTGTTCCCGTGACGGTGTTGTTGAAGAATTGGACATTGCTGGAGGCTTTGGAAGATAAGGAAGAGAACAGGGTTGTGAGGTGCCTCTGGAAAGTGCTATTGGGAGTGAAATGGTTTGCTGAACAAACTTGGTACTCATAAGAAAGGCCCTGTGCTCTGGTTGCAGTAAAGTTGAGGGAGATAAAAAAGATAAAGGGTATCACATATTTGAGATACCAAGCCATGGATGAGTTCATGAGTCTGGTTCTTTGAGTTTAGTTCATATGATACGATGGAGTAGTATAAACGATCACACAAAGAATTTATCTATACCAAATTTTTTCTTACCCGAATCTCACGATCACACTCAGTCTTAAGTGGTTCGTGGAGAAATTATTTAATAAATGGTAATGAATTTTGTTAAACAATTTTTGTCTGATGCTTACAACTGAACGAATCTCTTAACTCTTCATGGAGATAACCTCGACAAATATTGTTTTTTAATAAAGTCTTTTTCATAGTATATTTTTAGAATTTAATTACTGTTATTTGCATCGGATTTTGTTATTTTTGTTAAATAATATAAGTATTATTTGTTATTAAATAAGTCTCATTTTCTATATATTGTATCAAAAATGAAAAATAAATATAAATTATAATTTTATCATAATTCATATAGTCGTAATTATAGGATTAACAAATATAAATTATAATTACTGTCAATATTGTAAAATAACGATAACTTATGAAATATCTACTCTATAAATTTCAGAAACAAACCCCATTTGAACAAGGAAACATATACAGAGAAAAAAATTTGAATAGGTTATATAAGTAATTTGTCATTCGAATTTCTTAACTAAATATTCTAGGGTTTAATATTTCACTGGGATATAAATTCGCGATTAAATTATATGTTATGAATAAGTCATTTTGACGAAACAAATTAATTAAGCATCAAAGAAAATTTTAAATATCACTTACTATAAAAAATGATCGAAAAACAGTAAATGGAGACTTTTAGTCCGTCTTTAATCATAATTAAAAAAAAATGGAGAAAAAACAGTGCAACTATAAAAATTGTCCACACATGGGAGCTGAGTCATTCATTCTAGAGAGACTTTCATCATTTATTATGTCACTTTAAATTAAACTTTCGAAATTTAGATTATTTAATGATAAGTTTTTGTACAATAAATAATTAAAGTTTTAAAGAAGATTTAAAGGTGAAAATTTTGATTAAATTTAAATGTAAGGCTTTAGTTGCCGTAAGATTGGGGGAGATAAAAAAAAAAAAAGGGTTGGACATGCTTACCAAGTCATGGGTGGGATTTTGTGGGGATGCAGAGTTCTGGTCCATATGATAAGATGATGGAGGAGTAATTTAATAAACATTAGTGAAAGTTTGCTAAAACAATTTATTTCGGATGCCATAAAAATTAGGGCTCAAAGATAAGAGGAGTATATCTAGACCTTAACTCATTATAATCACAAAGATAAATATTAGGGCTAAACTACATAAATAAGTTAATATTCTTCATTTGTATCTAAAAAATAAATTATCATTCTTTTTTTTAGTTATGTTAATATGTCATATATATTCATATATTAGGTTGTCAATTAACTAAAAGATTACTTGTGTGAGAAAGTTCTGTTACTGTTTAGATGTGAAAGTAATAGAAAAAAATTAACATATCAATTTTAGGTATTAAAATAGCTTAATTGAAAAAAACACTAAAATTACCGGTTATCTAAACTATACTATAATACTAATAAGTCTTATTATATATTTTAGTTTCAGTATTTTAGATAGAAATAGAAGAACAAAAAATGGTGGGCAAGAAGAAAAGTGATAGGAGAAGGGGAAGAAACTACGGAAACAAGAAAATACGAAGAATTGACAAAAGGTGAGGAAGAAAAAAAATTGAAAGAAATTTGTAAAATAAGATGTTTGTGCATTTTTGTCGTGTTAATCTCTAAAAAGTGAAATAATATTTCTATTTATTGATCTGTGGTTTAGCCTCTGTAAATTGACTTTCAGATTAGAGATATAAACATTAGGCTAGCATTGTTCATATTTTATGTGAAAATTTTTTTATCAAATTTTTATACAAAGTTATATTAAAGGAATTTGTTATGGATTATTTTTAAATTTCATAGCAGGAACAGGAGAGAATAATTAGATATATGGATTGGTAATTTTAATTCGATAAGTTGTTTTGAGCCAACCTAATTCATTTTTAAAAAATATTATATATTAAAATTAAAAAAATAATTAAAAATATTATATTTTTTATTATATTATTATTATTTAGTAATTTAAATTATAAATATTGATAAATTAATCTTAAATTTTTTATTAATTAAATATTTTAACACAAAATTATAATGTTTTTTTTTATTCAATAAAAATTTTAATTAATAAATAAATGATTAAAAAAAATAGAAGCTTTCAACATATAATAGAAGCATTAAGCGGATTAAAGTTCTTCAAGGTAAAAAAAATGTAAATGTATTGAGCGAATTTTATTTCGTCAAGCGGATAATAAAAAAATGGTTGAGTTCCCTTAAATATAAATAGAAGTACTGAATAAAAAAAATGAAAAATAACACAGATAAAAACAGAGATTGAGATCCAACTTGAGAAATCTGAGAACAAATACTAGCTAAATTAGAAGGTTCTTTCTTCATGTATAGTTAATCTCATTTTTGTTGGGTTTGATGTAATTTGTAAATCTTTCTATTTATATATAAATTTTATTCTCCAATATTGAATTGGTTCTATTTTTACTAATTGAATTTAGAGGAATTTGAATTCACGATTTTAAAGATTGATATTAAAAAATACTTTCAATGAATTGTTTGGAACAACTTTAAGGTTATTTATATAAAAAAATTCTTGTAATTAATGCAAGAATCTTAATCATTTTATCAATGAATTGGTTGATTGTTTGAAATTTTTACAACTTCTAACATTAAAGAATTAATTTGAAACTAACTAGGGAATTTACTAGTCAAACTTGAATTAGGGTGGAAAGTTTTTATCAGTAAAATTTAATTGTCTAAAACTGTTTATCCCATTATTTTTTTTATATCATAAATGGACTCTATATTATTTGTTTTATTGTATTCAAAATTTTAATTGAACAAGAATTGAAATTATATGATATCTGAAAAGTTTTTTTAGTATAAGAATCCTTAATATAGTTAATAATTCATCTATGCAAATATATTTATTTATTATGATTTCAATTGTAATATAATTTACATATTCATAAATTGTATTTATATGAAAATAAAGCACAAGCCAAAGTACAAGTGGATTTGTAAACAGGACTCAGGCAAAACTAATAGATAAGTTTGTGAGATTATGAAAAAAAGACAATTTTTTTTTACGTAGAAAGAAACCAAGTTACTTATAAATTAATTCTTAATAGAGTTACTTTGTTTATATTTGTGTGCGAAACTTTAATTATTTTTAAAATAATCCGAAAAAACTTTGAATATTTAATTGATGCGTGTAGGTAGAGAGGCCTTTTGGTTTGATTAGGTAAAGTGCAATTCTGATAAGAGGAGCCGACACACACAATCCAAGTTTCCAATCAAATAGGAATTTGAGTATCTTTTTTCTCAATTCTATATTATTTCAATCAATTCTCAACCACCAATGACGATAATTAGATTATATAGGGTCTACTTTCTGAGGCTTTGGACTTTGCAAACCAGATTCCCTCTCACTCTCCTTGATTAGAAAGATGAGCAACATAATTATTTAACCATTATCAAAGCTTTTCTTAATACTTTTTCTTATTTTCTTTTTATAATGAGAAACAATTTTAAATGTTTGCATGATAAATAATAATATCACATAAATAATCATACATATTAATAAAAATACTAACATTTATTTATCTTATTTTCATCTCTCTTTCTTCCACCGTCCTCACTTACGAAAGCAATGCGCTCCCGGAGAGGATCAACCCATTAGAAACTTCAAGTTAAATTTTGTTGACGTTGATGTGACCCTGGGTGGACCATTTTTGGTACCCGACATGGATCCATCCATGGCCCCGGTTGTGTTTTGGAGCCAACTTATCCATGTCACATGTGCCTTTCTGTTCATTCATGTTGGATTCATTTTGAGTTCAGGGTTATATCAACTTCTTGCATTCCATCAATTTGTACAGAATAAATATCCACCATATGATGAAACTATATACGTGCCCAAACCTTGGCCTCTCTTTTTCTTCTTTTAAACTTAATGTTTTTTGTATTTACACTTCAACCTTGTGAAAACACTTATCCATTCTTTTTATCTTTATCCTTTTTTTTTCATATTATATAACTTATAATCTTTTGTATTTTTTCTTTCTTCTTATACGAGATTAGTTTGGGGTGTTCATAAAATACTTCCTTAAAATTATACACGTGTCACACATGATGAGTAATTAACATCATAGATTTCATCGATTATGATGAGTATATCCATATCGTGAACAAGGTGCTTCAGTGTATTGAATGTTTTTGGAGCAACTCAAATTTTCAATCAAGATGCCTCGTATGATCTTTACACACCTAACAACTACTACTCCCACGTGAAAACATATATTCCAAGCACAAATCGTGTTTTTTAATAAGCATTTCAAGAATACTTGTCTAATCACATTTAAATTATATTATCTCTTTAAAGACATCAAAGTATATCACTAATTTAAATATTAGATTCTTTACTACCACCTCTATCCATAATATCCTGCACCACCACTGGAAAAATTGTTATTCATTGGAGAAATATCCACATTCAATGAGATTGTCATATCATAATTTGGGTTATTTGGGATGACATATACTAATTAAGGATTAAAACTTTTTAAGATTTGATCAAAATCAATTTTTTTTTTAGTTTTTTATCTGCAAAGCAGTTTTAAAAAGCTAAAAATTTGTTTTTTTCTCCTCCAAACTAAACTAATTCACTGTTTCCTGCCCAATTGTTAATATTACTGTGCCTGTCTTAAATTCTCACACCCTTATCTTACTGTTGTTCTACCCTTAGCTTTTAAATTCACCAAATAACATTTAAAATCATGTCATTTGAGTGAAGATGGGACAATTTAGATAAATTTATTTTTATTGATTATTTTATTGGATTAGGTAATCCAAGACTGTCAATCTAATCTAATTCTATCTAAATAAATTGGATTATTTTTTTAATTTAATTCAATTTAATATAAATTTTCTTTATATTAAATTATGAGTTTTGTATATTAAACTTAAAATTTAATTTACCCCAATTTAATTAAAATTATAAAATAGTATATAATAATATAATTATTTATTTATTTAGTTATTTAATTAATTGAATATATTTTTTAAATATATACTTATTTTAATATTTAATTAATTTTAAAAATATTTTAAAAGTATCTAAATATGTTTTTATATGTCCTTGATATTATGATTAGGGACAATAATTGAGAAACTTTGAGCCTATAAATTATCAGCAAGTCCACAAATGTAGCTGCCAACACTCTTCAACTTCCGAAGCCTCCAAGTTCCTCATTTCTCGGTGGATAGTCTCCTCATATGTGTGAGTGCCACGTTTCTCTGCTATTAATATATCATTCTCTCTGTGTATTTAAATTTTTTTATATTTATATAACTTTTATTAATCTTTCTTAGTAATAATAACACTAGTTTGTATCATCAGGTTCTTAATTTTTATTTCAACTGTGCGTTTTCATCCATCTCATATTGACAAACATGAGACCAGGTTTTCTTTTCAGTATAATGATTTGTATGTAAATTCTTGGTGATCGTGTTTTAATAAAACTGAAAAAAAAATTAACCATCAATTTGATTAATAAAAAGATAGTGCTTTCCCTTGGATCAAACCATAGTTTGAAAATTATATAATATTGATTTGCTCACATCTAAAGGGAGTGACATAGAGAGAGAAAGCAAAGAGTGGTAAAGAAAAAGAGAGAGAAAAAGGAAGAAAAATGTCAAAAGAAGATAAGGCAAAGTAAGTGAAAAATTAATCTTTCTCTTATCATAATTAAAGATATATCTACAAAAATTAGCACGGATTTTAATTTTTTTTCTTTTGTGTGAAGATTAATGAAGTAAGCCTCGATTTTAATGTAATTGAGACAATAGATAAAAAATAATCATAATACTTTTTAATCAAATTAATTATAATCAATATTAACTAAAAATAACTTCCACCTACATTAATCAATAAAAATATCTTGATAAACTTAAAAAAAAACTCGGTGTCAATTAAAAAAACATAAGTTATATTTTTGAATTGTTATATATTATATAATATAGAAACAAATTGTGTATCTAATAATAATTGAAATATTATTTTTAAATATGAAAATTTAATAAATTTAAATTATATTTAATAAAATATATAAAAAAAATAAACAATTTAAATAAAAAGAATTTAACACAAAGTGAATAATATAAGATGGTGTAATCAAAGTGATCAGCGATATACTCAGATCTAATGATGATCAAATTTGCTCTGTAAAGATATATTAGTTATAATTAAACAATTAATGTCAAAGAAATTAATAAAAGCACCAGATAATAATACAATTACTATAGTACTACAATATTCTTGTACATAAAGACATGCAACTAAGTTCCTTTGTCTCTACAACCTTTCAATTAAATACGAAAGGAAAATCATTGTTTTACACCTCCCACAAATATTTAATAGACAGCTTTAAAGTGTGAGAAGAAGAGAAAGAAAAATGAAAATATATTATTATTATAATTATTATTATAATAATAATAAAAAAGTGATTGTATTATATTTATATATATGGATAACGGATGGTTGATATATATATCCTATGAACAGAAAAAAGAAAGCAACAAGGTTGTCTTTAATTATCTCTTTTGTCTTGATATCTCAAAATTAATGGAGAAACAAGAACGAAGTAACTTTTCTTTAAAATTCTCTCCTTTCAGCCACTAACAAAGCATGGACTCGATTTCAGTCCCACCCCTTCACGAGGCATACGAGATGCTCTTGAGCAAGACCAGAAACAGTAACGGAGAGAATGGTTTTGATGACGATCAGGTCTTGGTGGAGGAGGAGATAGAGTTGCCAGTGATCAATATGAATCATTTGGCAGAGAGTGATGAAGTGAGGAGACAGGAGTGCAAGTATGCGATAGCTAAGGCTTCTCAAGAATGGGGTTTCTTTGAGATCGTGAAGCATGGAATTTCCAATGATGTTTTCAGTGGTTTGAGGGTCGAACAGGAGAACATATTTAAGCAACCCTTTGAGAAGAAGAGGAAAGAGAACAAGTTTTTCAACTTTTACCGTTGGGGAGCCCCCACTGCAACATGCATCAGGCAGTTATCTTGGTCTGAAGCATTCCATATTCCTTTAACTGATATACTAGGTTCCAGCGGATCCAACACTTTTAGGTATTCACTTTATTTCTTTAATCTCTAATGTTATGTACTCATGCTTTTAGTATATTGGTTTGCTTTGGATTCTGTTTATTCTTCTTGTTACTAATTCAAATACAAATGTTTTGTTATGTATGCGCAGAGTTTATGTAATTTTGAACAGACAGATATCGCTCTCTTTTATAAAAAAAGAAGACATATCTCTCTTCAAATGCATGAACATTCTTGTACTGAATGATTTTGATTAATTAACCGTGTTTAAGCCTTTATACAATAATAAAAAAATAATTTAAAAACTATTACAAATGTATTTGTGTGGAAATGAGTTAAACCTGGCAAATTAACTTCAACCCTGCCAACTATAAGGTCATCTAAACCCTACTTACTCAATGCAGAAGTTTTAAGCACGTTGAATCCAATTTTAATTACTCAACGCACCAAGAAACAAACCAATCACTTTCTACAAGTTATAAGCTCTATTTTTGGTGAATAATGAGCTAGTTTCGCATATGTGTTCCTGGTTTAAATCACATTTATAACCACTTAAATTTTCTCACTACTACTAACTGGTTGTTACAGAAGAAACATGTAATTTATCAAAAAACACTGATACACTAGCCACCAACTTTTTTCCAAATATTTATTTTACAACTTCTATTGACAATATGATAATAAATACAAATAAACATAAAAAATTAAGATCTTATTATTATTATTATTATTATTATTAATTATATTAATCAAAAGAACTGTTAGGTAGTGTTTTTCAAAGAGGTTATGATATATTTTCCTTTATCAAAGGCTGTCACTAGTTAGGTGTTTCTATATTTGCAGCTCGACAATTCAACAGTTTGCTACCCAAGTTTCTATTCTGGCGAAAACATTAGCTGATATTCTGGCTGAGAAAATGGGTCACAAGTCTAGTTTTTTTCAGGAGAATTGTTTGCTCAGTTCCTGTTATATTCGATTGAATCGATATCCTCCATGCCCCTTGAATTCTGAGGTTCACGGACTGATGCCACATACAGATAGTTCTTTCCTCACAATCTTACATCAAGATCAGGTTAGAGGTTTGCAAATAGTGAAAGATGGGAAATGGGTTGCAGTCAAACCAAACCCCGATGCCCTTGTAATCATCATCGGCGACTTGTTCCAGGTACTAATTATTATTATTGACAATATCATTAAGAGACTTAGTGTAAGTGTTATATATGATAATCTGTGATTAAAAAAAACTAACTTTATACTGTTAGAGTACAACATCTTTTCTCTCAGTGAGAATTCTTTTCAGAGACAATGTACATGCTGCCGAAGTTATAAGGGTTAACTTAATTTAGAGCACTGGTAAATGCAGGCATGGAGCAATGAAGTTTACAAGAGTGTTGAGCACCGAGTTGTGACGAACCCAAAATCAGAGAGGTTCTCTATGGCGTATTTCTTTTGCCGTCTGATGATACAGTGATAGAGAGCTGCAGAGAGGGGTCGGTGTACAGAAAATTTAGCTTTGGGGAATACAGACAAGAAGTTCGAGATGATGTTCAGAAGTTGGGATATAAAATTGGCCTACCAAAGTTTCTCGTAGGTAGAGGAGGAGCTACGTAGTGTGCATGAATATCACTACTTCATATTCCAACCTCCACTTTTTACAAAGAAAGAATTGAAAGAAGCATTTTGAGACTAGGGGCAAGTTTGGTTTACATGCCTTCAGTTTAAATTTATATATATAATCGAGAATGTCACTGAATTTTGTTTTTTACCATCTTGCTAATGAGATGTGATTCGTTATTACTAAAATATGTCTAAAAACTATTTCGTCAATTCTATAGTCAAAAAGTTCTTTTTTTTTTTGCTGCAATTCTAAAATACAACTTACGTTCGAAAACACAACCAAAATAAAAGTTAAGATATATTTTTACTAATAATGATAGATGATCAACCCAATAAAAAAAAATTCATTAGTCAACTTTCTATATTAATAATATAATAATCATAAATAGATAAAAAATAATTAAAAATAATATTATATTATAAAATGAGTTTGTGTTGTTTGTAGAAATATAATACCAATAAATATTTTTCCTCTTTTTATTTTTTAAAATTTTTTGTAGAAGTCGGTAAATGATTAAAGTTTAAAATTTTTACCAGCTTTTTAATTACGGAAATGTTTGATTGATAAACATCTTTCGAACAATCGTTTTTATTAATTAAATAATAATATATGATATTATATTAATATTAATTTTGAGTTGTTGAATAGATACAGTGAGTGTTAAAATATTAGTATTCTTTTAATTATCTTACACAGAATATCCTTTTTTTTTCTTTAGATTTTCTTTATATATTTTTATAGTATTTAATTTTTTGGTTTTCAAACTAATTTATCTGTAAGTATTATGAAGGTGACATGTTATAAAGCTTGAAAAGTAGGTTAAATTTTTATTATACATGATGTTATTGAGATAAAACTTTGTTTCTTATTAAAAAAATAATACAAAACAATATTTGGGACACTTTGTTTAAATTGTTTTTTCAAAACGTATTCACTATCTAATTATATTTAAGTTATATTTGATAAAAACTAGTTAGGAATTAAATGTAGGTAGGTGCTAGTTGAAATGTTAAGCTAGTTAATTATATCAGCTTTTAAGAAAATTATAAGTTAAAGTAAATATAAAATAGCAAAGTAGACATGTTTATAAAATATTTTTATACAAATTTTAATTTTTTTATTCATAATATATTCTAAGGGTGTTAATAAACTTATTTTTAATTACTTTAAAATTTTATAAGCTTATATAGAGATAAATAATTATAATTACATTTATTTTACTGTCAATTATTGTATTTGTCTATTGTATATTTACTATTAATATGTAATATATCTTACATTAATTTATATTTTATCTAAAAAAAATAAAAAATAACATTTAAAATATATATATATATATATACATATAACCATTGTATTATGTTAATTAATTAATAATTAAATTATTTTAAAGTATAACGATAAAAACAATATAAAAATGTCATAGCTAAAATGCATGCACAATATAATATACAAAATATTTTAAAAAATAAAACAAATCTACCATATACTTCTTAAATAAAAAAATTGTAAATAGTATAATAATTGAAATAAACTCATTTAAAAAAAAATCTTTTTTATAAATAATTTAAAAATAAAATGAAAATAAATATAAAAAATAAATTTACATAACCGTTAAGTAGCGTTTTAAAAAAGCGTTACTAAAAAAACTTCGCATAACATTATTATTAATAAGACCAAACATGACCGTAATAATTTCTCTGTAAGCTTTAAAGTTGAAAAAGAAGTAACACAGAAGTTTCTATAATCAAATTTGCGACGAGCTCATAAAATGTCACATGATTTATCATGTTTCTTATTTTCAAATTTTATAAATACAACAATAGAAAGGTTTTCTTCATCGGAATAAAAAATTGTAAATTTAACAATAAAATGGTTGTATTTTTCAGATGTTCCTTGTTCCATAAGGAGGAGAGTTTGAAACAGGGGTGCATAAAGAAAGGAGTTTTGATGGAACCAATCTAACCTACGTACGGACTTAACTTACAACATATCTTGGGCCGAAGCGAGCACATAAGAAGATTTCGTGGGTGATGAAATTTTGTGGTTCAGGGTCACGAACATCGCATGACTTTTCATCAAGAAAGAATGTGAAGCAAGTCAAAGTGGAAAAAACTTTAAATTTCATAGTTAGAGGATTAATGTGAAGAGGAAGAAAGATTGAAATAAGAGTGTTGATCTAAGTTATGAAAAATAAAACATGGCGAATTCAGTTAATCAAACTATCAGAGTAAATAGTAGGTGACAAATATGAGTATAACCCAATAATAATCAAACGTCTTTCTCTTGGTCATGTTTTCATTATCCAAATCTTTCCCCGGCCAAGGAGAAAGAAGAAAAGATAACCATTAGTGAGTTATGCCGATTTCGCGGTTATGTCCTTCCGTTCCTCAAATCGTAGCGTGCACCCGCGACAACCAAACCGGGTCGAAGTCCGTTTCAGGGAGACCCAAGGGAAGCCCTCAGCTGAACCGGTGGTCCAGAGCTCGAGCCGTGCGGTCCGGAAAGAAATTGGACCGGTCCAGTCTCCGAACCCAGCCACCGGGACCAAACGCTCCTCTACGTCAATATCCTCTACCGGTGGACCCCGTCAATTTGGACGGCGCAGATGTTCTGGCTGTCAAGTCCATCTATATGGTCTCCGACGGAACCGGCTGGACCGCCGAACATTGCGTTAATGCCGCTTTGGGTCAGTTCGATTACTGCTTGGTCGACCGTGGCTGCCCCGTCAGTACCCATTTGTTTTCTGGGGTAAGCAAATACAAACATCTTATAAAAAAATGTGCTTTACTTATTTTATCATGTAACTTTAATTGTTGATGTGTGGTTTAGATTGATGATGCGGAGAAGTTGTTGGAGATCACCAAGCAAGCAGCTAAGGAAGGTGCTTTGCTTGTGTATACTTTAGCTGATCCATCGTTGGCTTTGGCTGCAAAGCAAGCGTGTAAGTTATGGGGTGTGCCATCCACTGATGTCTTGGGACCCATCACTGAGGCCATTGCTTCTCATTTGGGTGTTTCTCCCTCTGGTCTTCCCCGTGGGGCTTCTGGCCTTCCCCTGTCTGATGATTACTTTCGTAGGATTGAAGCTGTTGAGTTCACCATCAAGCAAGATGATGGGGCATCTCCCCAGAATCTGGCCAAGGCTGACATTGTTCTCACCGGCGTTTCGCGCACCGGCAAGACCCCCTTGTCCATTTATCTGGCTCAGAAGGGGTACAGGGTGGCCAATGTGCCCATTGTCTTGGGTGTGGCAATTCCCAGGACTCTGTTTGAGGTGGATCCAAAAAAGGTTTTTGGCTTGACTATAAATCCTCTAGTCTTACAGAATATTAGAAGAGCAAGGACTAAAACCATGGGATTAAGTTCAGATGGTAGGAGTAATTATTCGGAGATGGATTATGTCAGGGAGGAACTTGAATTCGCTGGAAGGCTCTTTGCTCAGAACCCTCTTTGGCCAGTCATTGGTAACAAATTGTTTCTTAACAAGTTCTCATTTCTGTCATCTTTGATGTCACATTAATTCCTGATAGGGGTTGGAAAATGTTGGCTTCAGATTAATGCTTATGACGCCTTATTTGTTATCTATTTACAGATGTGACTGGAAAAGCCATAGAAGAGACTGCAGCAGTTGTATTGAGGCTGTACCATGACAGGATGCACAAATGCACCATGCCAAGGATCTCCAAACGCTATTAGAGATGACAAGTTTTCTCTCTTGTGGAACTACAGATTGTGAAATACCAAATTTGTATAGTGAAATATAGAATTTACTGAATACGGTTAATTACTCATTTAGTCTATATACTTAAATAAACATTTTCTTTTAATTCCAATAGTTAAAAATGATTCATTCTACTCTATAAATTTAGACGGTAGGCATTAAAAAAGATTAAAAATGATATATGAAATTATTAAAAGAGATTAAAATGATATATAGGAGACTGAAAATGAATGTTTTTAAATACAGGAATCAAAAGATGGATTTTTTATAACTATAGGGATTAAATAAATAATTAAACCTAAATTTTTATGCCATTTACTTGTGAGGGTATTCTTCAGCTGACTAGCAGGTATGTCTTCGACTAACAGGTTCGTCTTATATATCATTACATGTATATGGTGAAATGCTATTATCATTGGCCCAGCTACCAAAAAGGTGTTTTGTTCCGGTGAACCAACTAATCAATTGCAAAACTGCTTTCAAAAATTTTGGTGAGTGCTGGTGACTTCTCTTCTTTTGTGAAAAATCTCATGGAGCATAATCAATAAGTAAAAATGCTCTTTTTCGCCAAAATAGAGTATTCTTTCATGGGTATTGGCTTTATTATCTCGTTGGATCTTAGTTACCCTAACGGATACATGATGACAATATTTTATTGGTATGTACGTGATCGATTTTCTCACGAAAATATCTGGTGGAGTTTAATCCTTTATGATAGTTTGGTTGCCAACTCTTGTTGATAAAATACATGACACACTAAACATGTTGAAATCTTGGATTCCAAGCAACTTATGTCATTTAACTTATTTATGTAAACTTGCTGGTGTACCAAACTTGCCTACAGGCACAGAAGCATGAGCAGAAGGATGGTGATGGATTTCTTTGTTTTTGTTAACCATTGAGAAAATCAATAACTCAGAAATTTTGTAGGTTGGGTTGTTAATGTTTACTTCTCCTAACTGGGACTGTGGATTAACAGTTTTGCTACAACCTTAGAATAATTGTTGGTTCATTTACCCAAGGAGTCTACCTGATCTCTTAATATGGTTGAAGACAAATTTAACACTTACAGTAATTGAGGGTTGTCCTCAAGTCCGCAATCGAAAACTCGCATGGCTTTATATCTTCTGCCGGCGGAAAACATTTATCTTAATACGGTTGTTAAGGAAAAGGATCTAAGTTTCTAACGTTGACATGCTACTAGTTATGTAGACCTCAGTAGACAAAATTCACCAATTTAATCTTAATCTTCCATACACATAATTAATTCCGAAAGGTTTCCCTAATATATAACCTTTGTCACTAGAAAAGGCACTCGTGGATTACAGTTTCTTCCAGAAAAAAATTGTCTTTGAGCACGCATGGCGTTTATGCCTACTTTTATAGCTTGTAGGGAAGTAGCTCTCATGGTTTTAGTTTACTTTGCCCCACCTTTTTCCCATAGTTAACATTAAAGTTACACACATTAGAAAAAGATTCACTAGCCATTTCGTGAGTAAAACAAAAGATACAGGGGATACAAGTAAGGACGGAGTAGAGAGAGGAAAAGGGCTTTCTAATCCTCCAACACCGCTGTGCCCTTAAATGACACTCCAAATTAAGTATAGACCACTCTCTTACATGTGATCTTTATCTGTTGCTATATTCCATTCACATAAGAAATATTCCTTCCCCCTTTATCATAGTGCAGTATGTCACTGAATTTGCCTTTCATAGCTCCCCAACAGGTAACTGATTCTGAGGTCAAGGAGGTTGAAATTTTAGTTGCCTATTGAAAGTTTTGCAAATTTGTCTTCAAACTTGTTCCCGGGTTTTGCTCCAATCCTAGGATCTAGATTTTACACACCCATTATCTCATTTGTCCCATACATCAGTCACTGCTGCCAGTCATCCCCTTATTCATCTGCACTTTGCTTGCTGATAGTAAGAGTGAAGTAAATCAGCAACATTGTTCCCATGCTTGACCTGTTTCAGAGCAGGGAAATTGAGACACGTGTAAAATAGCGTGAAGGACAGAACAGAAGAACTGAAGCTAATAAGAGCTCAATCTTACAAGGTGGCAAAGAAAAGCAGAACCCTTTTAGGGTCAAGGAGCCATGAAGAAGGCCGTTTAAAACTATTTCTTCGAGTTACACATTTGCTTTCGGTGGTGGTGGTGGTATTGCACATGTTACTGGCAGTAATGGTAATCTGATGATGAACCTGTGTGTTTGGGGAATGTTGCGTGGACCCTACTGCTACTGCCGCTGACTTTTCGGCCGTGCAGGATCCTGCTAGGGCAGCTGCAGTTCCATAAAACCCACATCACAATATTATCTCAATTTCTGATAATGACAACACCTGTGGACCCCGAGAATGGGTGACCAACAAATTAATATTATTAATATCTATCTCATGATCTGTGATGTCTGTGGAAATACACATGGTTGACCCAGAATTCTATTCAAGAGAGCTTTAATTAATTGACATGTTCTCGTTGTAGTTTCCCTGTTTTTCTCCCTAACTAATCTCCAACCACCAGGGACAAGGCCAAACAAATTTCACCGCCATCATAATTTTTTATTTCCATAATCCCAGTGTGACTTTTAATCATGTTGATGTCATTTTATTCCAAAACCTAAATACATTGGATCTGAGATTATGATACTGACAACTATACTATATTCATAACAGACATAGTTATACAGCAATCAGACCTAAGAATCAGGGAACACCCACTTTGGCCTCATATAGGTACAGGTTGGATTTTGAAATATTTTATGATACCTTTAATTTTGTCACCCGTGTCTTCATATATTCATACTGATGAACCCAGTTCCTTAATGGTCAAACAATAGAAACAAACGCACCTGTTGGTGATTTTATTAAAATTTTCTTCAACATAAGAGATACAGGAAAACAGATCTCAAGTTGGCGAATCATTGGGTCTAAGATAGTAAAATTGGATCCTCTTTTTGTGATACACTTTATATACATATATATATATATATATATATATATATATGCAAATTACTATGCACATGAAAAGACTCAAATGAAGATCCAACTCTAAATAATTCAAAACGTACTATATTATATTTTTTATTAGAACAATACAATTTTTGAGTTCACAATTTTCTGCAGAGACAATGGTGGATGGTACCTTTTGGTGCGCATGTAGTTGGGACAGTATCCCTATCATGAAATGTGACATTGCCATTCACCTTCCTGTCGCCCCCACGCTGAGATCCTTTCCTCGAAAGGTTCCGCTGCAACTATACCGTAGAAATCAATCAATTAACCAATAACGTCAAAAAATTATGAAGTATAATAACCAAGCTGAATAAATGAATAAGTCAACTTCGGGTGTGGGAGTTAAGTAAGGGATACACAAAGTTGAAAATTAAATGATTATATTAAATAGCTTCATCAAATTTTCAACGTTTCATTAATTTAAATTTAAGTTAAGGGTGAGGGAATTGAGGGGAGGTATAATAATAATAAAGCTTGAGAAAGACATTCGATTTCAATGGCCGCAAAGGCTTAACAAAACAACAGTGGTAGCGTGTATGGTTTCCTTCTCAGTTTCATTAATATCCCCATTTTTAAGTATACATTATACTAATTGCAAGAAGAACAAAAACATCACTTGGCCTGTTTCGCTCGTAAAATGTGCCAAACAAAATTAAAATAATAATAAAATATTTATTATGTGGTAAATATAATTTAAAACACAACATAAAAAATCTTACTGTAATTCTGGAATTAGCATTGGTGTTATCTTTGTTGATGGGGAGGAGAAGGAATCCATGTCAATCACAAAGCTATCGGCTTCTTCGGTTGAATACTGATATGCGTTTATGTGATCTGAAACAGAGATTCTCTGGGTACCCATTATCTTCTGTTCCGATTCCAAAACCTCGCGAGAAGAAGAATCACCCGAATTCTACAAAACCAAACCCACGACAACAGAGCCACAAGGATTAAGAATTAAGACCCAAATTTTCAATGGAACAGTTGTAACAGAGAAAAACCGTAAAGGAAATTCTTACCAACTCTGGAATTTCTTCCATTTCCTTCACTTTTCAAGAGAAAGAAAAAAAAAATAATGAAGGAGGAAAAGTTGCGTCTGGAATGGGGCACAGCTCAGGCTATAACTATACAGCACCTGATGGCACATGAAAATGAATCCCCATAAGTCAAAACGCTTATGCTTATTTATATAGAATAAAAAAAACAATAAAAAAAAAACTGAACAAAACATACCCGTGAACATTAACCCAGAAGTTTTTTGTTTGTTCCTTCTTCAGATGCAGTTCGGAAACTGATTGTTGCAGTGAAACTCAGTAAAGGGTGGCAAAGGATACAGAAAAGGCCAGATGGGAAGGTGTTAGTTTCTTGTGGTGAAAATTCTGTGGAAATGAAAGAAAGGCAGGGACTTGTAACAACTCTCCTTTTTGTCTGATTAGAAGTGGGTGATTTTTATTGGAAGGAAGAAAGAGGAAACGATGAGAGAATGGATGGAAAGAGTGTAAGAGGAAAAGAGAGAGAAGGACATCGCCATTAGCATCATCATCATGTGGATTGTGGGGTTTGCTCTGTGAACAAAATATGCATACATCAACGAAGAAGTTAGAAGGGGTTTCATTGCAAACTGGACATCATCTTAACCTTCCTTTCTCTCTTGCTTTTGTTTAATGTTTATGCCACAATGTTTGCTTTTCTGCTTTGTTATATCCTATGTACTTTACTGTGAATCTGTGACGTGTAGCAGATAAGTACACCTTTGCAGCCATAATTGAGAGAATTTATTTTTTTGTTTAAGTATAATTAAAATTTAATGACTATGTAAAAAATGTTTTAATTATCAATCAATAACAAATTACTGTGCATTTAATTTTATTAATAAATTACAAAAAAACAAACAAAAGTAATTATACATTTTACCACTTATTTATCATTATTTCACAAATTTTATTGAATATTTTTACATATTTTATCCTTAAGTTTATGTTTAACTGCTCAAGTTTTTTCGTTTATTTTATTATCTTTAACTTTTATACATTCTACCGCGGTACTCATAACAAGATAAATATTACTTCATAAATTATTAACAAAATTATAATGTTTTCTTATAAACACGTAAAATAACACTTCTAACAAATATGCAAAAATTATAAACATTACTATAAAATGTGTCGAAAAAAATTTGAGTGATAAAAATTATAATAGTTAGATGATAAAAATATGCAGTTAAATCAAATAAAATAAATTTATTATAAAATAGTTTTGTACTTACAATTCATGGATTATTTTCTCCTACGATTAAGTGAATCTCACCGTTAATTATATTTAGTTAATCCACCACATATTAGAATGAATTGACTTGAATCTTAATATTGTTGGACAGGATAATGATTAACTTTTTGTTATTTTTGAAATATTTTCTTTTAAAAAATAATATCTTAAATGTATGTTTTCGTATGATTAAGAAAAAAAGTTTCAATCAACCATTTTAAGTAGAATAATCTACTTAAAAGTTTAGCTATAACAAACATATCCTATCCACTTTGCACTTACTCACATACCCCCTCTTTTAATCATTGTTGTTGTTCTTATTTGTTTTTATCATTATTATAAATTTAGAAAACAAATCACCTTTACTTAGTAAATAACTTTTTAAAGGAAGCTTAATCTTTTTCTATATCCTTTCTCTTCAAAAAATAATGCGTGTATTAATTCCTCTTATCTTCAAATCTAAATTCCTTTCCAAAAAAAATATTAAAATCCAAATTCTTTAAGTTAATTATACACATTTTAATCAATTTAAAATGTTTTCTATTTTTATTATATGTTTATAGTTTAGTTAAATAAATCAAGTATATGTATTTAAATTTAAATATTTTTTATTATTCTATATTTTCAAAATTTATTTAAACTTCGAAATACTTGTGTAGTAAACAGAATGTGTGGTGGGTTACATTTTTAAAGACTATAACCGAGAAAACCCCGCAGTTGTTTCTTTTAGGATAATTTTAGTTTTTTTATTAAGAAAAATAATATCACTTGTTTTTATATTTGTATGTTTATATACTATATGCTATTATAATTAACATAAAAATAAATTAAAAGTCGTATAAAATATATTAATTTTAAATTCTTGATGACCAAGAATCCATTGAACAAAATTTCAGTATTTAAAATTTTATAAATATATTTTTCAGGAGTCAACTCGAAACTTAGATTGACGGACCAATAGTTCATCTGTCAGTCAGTTAATCCAATTTGTTCAACTAAAACTTCCGCTGGCTGCCAAATTCTGATTTTGTTAGGCCAAATATTTTTCAGTTAGTTTGAATAAGGTGAAATAATATGTTTTGATTTATAAATTAGATAAATAAAATTTTATTTATTCTAACAAAATTTATAAAAGCTTAAATCATGCGTTTAGGTATTTTCGGTCTCCATCGTAAGCGAAATATCACTCGTTATCAAATTAATTTCAAGATGGTAGGATAGATATAAAATATATTTACATTCACGTGTTATGAACTCTTCTTATACTCTTTATAATTATTAATTAGAAAATAATTTATTTATTTTTTTAATAAATAAATATCCAGACTCCTTATATAATTATCCATTTATTTAATATTTTTTAAACAATGTTCTCATTAGAATGGGGTTAAAATTATTAACATCTACAAAATTAAATAAATTTGTTTATTTTTATATTTGAAAACTTTTAATTTTAATCTTTATAATTTTTATTTTATATAAATTTTATTTAATAGTTATTACATAATTAAGGATTGAATATAAGTTTTATGTGTAATTTTTCTTTTTATTTTTGTAAAAAGGTAGAAAAGAAAACACTCCTAGTATTACTAGATAAGACAGCAATTGCACTCAAATACAGGATGAATTTAAAACTATGATAACTCCATTATTTTTTCTGGAATTGGTTTCGTTTTAGTATTTTGATTTTTAGGTAATTAGGAGAGAGTAGTGGTGGGAGGGAGATATGAGAGGTGAGAATAACGATTCCATTGGAAATGATTAATGAGCAGAGAAATCTCAATAAACCACTCCTTACCACATTCAACCACTATCGTTTATTAGAGCACCACGCCCGCCTCAGGTTCCTCTTTTTTGCTGATTCCTCCGTTAATTTTTTTTTATAATATAATATCATGAAGTAAATGTGCGCTGTCTATTTATTTTTATTATGTGTTTTATTTTTATTTATTAATATATATATATATATATATATATATAATATAAATATTCTTTAAATAATAAATTATTAAAGATAAATAAACTTTAGATAAAAAAACAAATAAAAAAATGTGTGAGATAAATTAAGCAAAATGTGTACTTGGTAAAATAAGAAATATTTTATTTTATTTTATAGAAAATATTAAAAAAAAGCATGTGATTGAAGGAAGAAGAGAAAAAAATATAGATATAAATTATATTAAAATAATCAGTTAAAAAAATATTTTTTTTATATATTGTATATTAAGTTTTTACTAATGTAGTTTGTTTCATAGAAAATAAAAATAAATTAAAACCAATTGTCAAATGAATTATGTTACTTTTTATTAATCTTTATATTAATAAAATCGATTAAATTACACAAATTTAAATATAAAATTTCTTTAATTATTTGCTTTATTAAAAACTAAAATTTTAATCTATTTATTTATTTATTTCATATAAAATTGTTTTTTCTCTGTATTATTTTATTTTATCTCCTTAAGCAAAGAGAGGTTTACTATAATTTACTCCCCTCCCTACATGTTTTATTTTATAACCTAAGTTTATTTTTTTTTAAATGTACTACTGATATAGAAATTATTTTTTGAATAGGAGGACTAATAAAAATTATTATAATTAACATGCTTATAATTAAATAGTAATATAATCAATATTTTTCTTAATATATTTTAATCTCTTCGTTTGTATATAAGAAGAGAACAAATTATACTGATAAATATACATGGTTATTAAATTTTATTAATCTAACGCGTTAATTGTAATTTTATATCTCATGATTATTCATATTAAACTTCATTAAAAAAATAAAAAATTTGTGTTAGTATAATTTGAAACATATACATATATTGATTTTGATTTCAGTAAATAAAACATGAAATAAATTGATATTAATATTAATTTTCTATACAATATTTCTTAAATAAACTTTAATTTAACAGTTAATTTTAAAACAACAAAATAAATTGAATATTATAATATTTTGAAAAAGTTATACTAACATAATTAAATGTCTGTATATATAAACTAAATTTTAATATATTACGTAAAAGATAAAGTCAATATTTAAATTTTATATTTAAAAAATTGGGTGCTGAGTGTTTATCAAGGTCAAGTCAAGACATTGTTAATTTTATTATTTGTAGCCACATAATGTTATAAAAGTTGGTTGTTACTATGCCTTTCATTTTAGGTAGATTTCGTACACATTGTAAAATAACATTAGTCAAGGCAACAAGCAATATCCTGAGAATTAGATGTAGATGTTTTCCAAACCAAACAAATCATTAGCTTTAAGAGTCCCCAAATTCCAGTATTATGCACTTCCTATTCTCAATCTTATCTCCATCATTTATCCAACTTTCTCTCCACCAATCATGTTTTTGTTTCTAATTCTTTTTTAAAATAAACAATTATTACAACTTAAAAAACCACACATTGTATAACCTGTTTCTAATTCTTCTTCATGTGTTTATATATTCACTAGGGTGCACAAACTATTTTGAAGATTATTTTTTTAAATATAAATGTTATTGGTGTAAATTTTGCATATTTCAAAATTTGTTTATTTGCATACCCAATTAAAAGTTAAATTATAATGGATATTTAGTGATTCAGTTATATAAAAACTTAAAGTATGTTGATTTTTATTCTACATATACAAGTAGCTGAGATTCTCCTACTTGTCAAAAAGTTGTATTTCTATAATTTGCTTACAATAAAATATACAAAAGGAATAATATAGAGAAAAAAAAAGGGTGCGACTATTATAAAAATATCATAACATCCGCAAACA